GGGCTTAAAGTGTAAAAAACCGAACTTCTCCTTTAAGAGGGGAAAAAACGGAAAAATGGCAACAAAAAAAGAAAAGAAAAAAGTGTAATGAAGACTAGAAAGGAAGAGGATTAGATAAAGTACAAAAATCAGTATTAAACACAAACATTAATTAGAGAGCAGATAGGAAGAAATAATAATGATTAGGTTATGGGTGAGACTTACATTTTAAAATGAAAATGTATATTTAATAGGCAGGAATAATAATGATAACTCTGAAGGATGTGGAAAAAAAAGAAAATGTAGAACACGTACTGATGAGCTGTAAAACTTATGAAGATGAAAAAAATTGAGAAGGAAAGGCCAAGAATGGAGCCCTAAAGGAATATTGGGAAATGAAGGAAAAATAAAAGATATTTACAGATTAAGGAAAGCATTATTTATTTATTTATCTTCAGAATCTAAAATTAAAAATTAGAATTTGATAGATGTAAAGTATTGTAACTACACACTCATGCCCAGCAGGTGGCGGTATGCACTTTAAAGGTGTTTGCGATCCGCCATGATGGAAAAGAAGAAGAACTGTTGGATGTGTGGATGGGAGAGCAGGAAGAACACGCTGCACACCAGGCTGCCTGAATTTCCAGTGTGGGAATGATTTTAACAAACTGTAGATAACGCTTTAAGATTCAAAATGACAGATTACATCGAGGAACAACGGAATGAACTGGAAGCCATAGAATCAATCTATCCTGACTCCTTTACAGGTAGAGTTACTAGCCTACAGATAGCATTACAGTAGCGTTATTTAGCTGACTGCCACCTAACATCAGTCATAGCCAATCCACCTTTTCTCTATCTTTTAAACGGATTCAATATATGTTTATATAGACTTCCAAGGTTAGGATCGTAAACATGTTTAGGGTACATGGAGGCTTTTTCAATGCTAATAAGGAAAAGTAGCTAAACTCGCACATTTTAATACTAGATTGATGCATTCAGTGCCGTATTCTAACATGATTTAACAGCACATTATCACTATCAGTCTGGGTGTTGTGTAGTAATGGTTTAAAGAGGCATCTTGAAGCCAAACTGTATTGATGCTGCGTTGATACTGCCTCACACAATACTGACACCTGCTGGACATTTAAAGACACTACAGGCAGCTGATTGGAAAGACTAAACTAAATTGATTTGATGATCAATGATACAATGATAGAATTGAAGTTATTGTAGGTTATATTGTATTGTATATATGTTAAATTGAAAATATTCTTGATATTTTTAGATGCAATCAATAAATAATGTGAACATTTATCATCATGTTGACAGATACGTGTTTGTCAGTCAGTTAGAAACAACTCCTGTATCGGTCTCATGACTTCTTGAAACGACAAATACATCGATAGTGTTTTGCTCTATGGGCTGGACGGATGCTCTGATGCTCTGCTGGACCCATCACTAGTGTTGTGAATGTTTATTCCTGTGTGCTTTCAGTGCTGTCAGAGGAGCCCACCAGTTTCACCATCACCGTTACGTCAGACGCAGGAGAAAATGGGGAAAGTGAGTACATATTTAGTTTAAAGGCATCATGACATCTCCTTTAAGTTTGAAACTTCATTTGATTTTTCCTCTGTGGTAATGATTTGTTCTTTTTTTTTCAATTACAGCTGTAGAAGCAACTCTAAAGTTTACCTATGTAGCAAAATACCCAGATGAGCCTCCGATGTGGGAGATCTACTCTCAAGAAAACCTGGAAGAAGGAGATATGGAGGAGATTCTCACCCTGTTGAAGCAACAGGTCTGTTCATTTAAACAAGAAGTTTCATGTATTATTTGCTTATTACTGATGGCCATATGGTTACCCCCACTTTGTAAGAGCAGATAAAATAAAACAGACCAGACAGTGATATGTCTAGACTCTTCAGAACTGCTATTTTCATGACCTCCTTCCTGGACTTAAAGGTGTGTTCAGATTCAGAACCCACACTACAAAACTGCTTTAAAAATAAGTACAAATGTCTTTCAATTAGGGATGGAGAATTGATTGCATTTGCGATTTAATCGCCATTTAACAGAACAGAATTTTAAAATCACAGAGGTATTCATTTTTAATCATGCTTTTATAACAAGAGTAGAGCCCTTTAGGTGGTGATGAAACACTAGAAGCGGGTTTTTCTCCACACAGAAATGTAGCATTGCAGCTAGCACGTAGATCCACGATTAGAAGCACAAGTAAACACTTTTTCACACAATAGTTACAGTAAAGTTCTGTAGCAATGGAAAACAGGCTCTAAAAAAAAAAAAAAAAGCCTGGAGGTGAAACATCTACAAGCTTGGAGTTGTGGCAAAGGAAAATGGAAATAAAATTGCACTTTGATTTAAAAAATAATTGCAATTTAGGATTTTGGCAAAATCGTTCCGCCCTGCTGATTGTATCTTTCATTTATCTGCTGTAGAATGGATTTATTGTTGCAGTTTGAACAAGAAAATTACCTATAGGGCTGCTCCTCACAATTATTTTGAAAATCAATTAATCTGTTGATTATCTATTTGATTAATCAATTAATAATCTGATAGCCAAAGGTTCCTTAAAGGAGATTTTTTTTTTTTTACAAAACTAAACGATGTGAAACCAAAACGTTTCCTATTAAGGAGATCTGGAAGCAGCAGATCGATGGACGGAAACGTTTCGATATAATTACGGCTCTAAGCGGGTTGCTTTTTCAGCTAAACGTTTTACATTCTCTATACTTCAGTTAATCATTAATCAATTGCTAAATAAGCTGACGATTATTTCAGTGATCAATTAATGCAAGTAATTGTTTCAGCCCTTCTTAATTATTATGCATTCCAAAAAAGAAAATTGTATTTTTTTCTT